CTGATGCCATTATTTCCACCTCGGCCAGGCTCCAAACCATAGAGGCCAACCCAACCCTAGCACAACCCTGCCATCGACTTGCTGCAGGCAGAGGGGGCCAGGTCCAGAGAGGTGAGCTGACTGCTCAAGCCCCACACTAAGGTGACCGTGAAGCTGCAGCCCAGTGTCCTGCCTCTCACCAGTCCAGGACCTTCACCAGGCCAGGCGTCTACTCCAATGGCCCCTATCCTGAGCCAAGCACTGCAGGCCAGCAGCACTGGCACATCCTGCAGGGCAGCCCTGTTGGCTGGAAAGCCAGTCTTGCAAGTGGGTTCACGTGTTTGCAGTCAAGGCTTTCTATTCCCAGAACTCTGCTTTAGTGATATTAATCACATATTCCTCAAAACTATGACATACACTCAAAGGTAAGACACTGTGCGGAGGCAGGGGAGCAACCATCTGTTCTTTATAGGACAAAATTTTCATCGTAGCTTATCTTTTTCTTAAACATGAATATAAAAGAAATGACTGAGATAATTGGGTATTTCTAGAAATATGACATTTCCTATTTTGTAACAAGAAAGAAAACAGCCCCCATCCAAAGTCATCACAAGTCATCTACCTGTGGGCTGTGGGATGTGCATGTTGTATGTGTATGTGGTGTCTGGGTGGTCATGTGTGAGTGTGTGGTGTGCATGTTCATATGTCTGCTGTGTATGTGTGATGTGTGTGAGGTATGCATGTGGTTTGTGTGTATGTGTGGGATGTGTATGTGCCTTTAACACATCTATGCTGTGTCACATAAAAAGAGAGAATTCACTATCCAGATCAAATTAATAACTTTATCTATTAATGTCAAAAGAAATTCTTAAACTATTTTTCAAACCATTTAGATATTTACATGTGAGCCATCCACATTATAAGATTTTTAAACAATTTTGAGAAAAAAATCAGCCTTTAAAGTTCAACTCCACATCAAAAAAATTTTTTCAGTCTAGAAGTAAAATAAAATTCTACTATATTGTAGTAGAATTGATTATAGGCATTTTAACATAGTTAAAATAACTTTCGTATGCTTTGCTCACAGTTACCAAAACAGTACAGCTCTGAGAAAATTAAAATTTAAGATATTTTTATACACTTGGTCAAGTGAAAAAAAACTAAGAATAAATTTTTGAGCAAATGTAATTTTTAAAGACCACCTATAAGAAGCAGTAGAGCATTTATAAATGAAGCAAATGACTTATACCACCCCAAATATCACTAGATGCACAAATGGGAGAAATAAAATAATTTTTAAAGAGTCTTTGTAAAAACAAAGCTCTGTTCCAAAAGGGGAACATATCAGGAAGGGTCCAGTAAATCGGGAAATAACTCAGTACTTTTCTGATCGTTAAATTTCCTATAAATAGCTCGCCATTTTCACTGTTAGTAAATGTACAACACTCCTCAAGCTGAAACCTATATAACTTCGCTGGAGACCTCACAGGTGTTTATGAATGGCATAATCTGCTGGCTCACTGAAGCTGATGCTGTTAGAATAGCTCTGAGCAGCGGGCACCTAAAACCATTGCTTTTAAATTGGGCCTCCTGATTCTTGCCCTTGGCACTTGGGTCAGTCCTAAATATGGTCGCTCCTTATCCTTTTGTGCTCTAAAAAGGGGACCTTCTTTTGGGGACCACACTGGGGCCAAAGGCAAACCCGGTGCAGCCCACACAGCATTGCCTCCTGCTCCAGCCTTGCCCCCCTAGCAGGCAGTTTCAAAGCTGAATGTGAAGGCTATGCTTGTCTTCAGATGGCCCAGTGGTCCTTTAAAAACTGAACCCCCGCCTCCTGTCCCCTGCACTGCTTGTGTTCCTCCCTACAGTTTCCCCACCGTGGATCTAAAGACAGAGAAGGTGGAAGACCAGAATATTGCCTTTTGAACCTGCTACTAAGACCAGCAGCCTCCTTGAGTGATTGGGGTCCTACCCAATTTTGACTTTAGGATAAGATCATTTAAAGGTGGGCAGCACAATAATCAATACTTTTTTAAAATGGAAAATTAAAAGTATCAAATATTTTTAAAATGGAAATTTAATGAAAATATTCATTGCTCTTTGCTTTTGGATTTTTCTTTTCTTTCAAGGGCATAATTTTTTGTTCTTTCTCTTACGTCACCAAAAGAAAAACAGGAAATGTCAGGTATACATAGGGGAGTAAAAAGGTGCTGCCAATGAGGCCCAACTGAAAGTATATCAACCTGCAGGCAGTGTAAGCTGCAGCTTTCCTGTGTGCATAGCCCGTCCTGTTATGTAGCAGCAATTGGTCTAATTGGTGATGGACCAATTAGACGTGCTTTGAGCTTTGAATTCTAGTGTTGCTCAGGAACGTCTTCCATTTTTAAATTTTAGGTTCTTCATTAATTCACATTATAAGCTGTTGCTCAAATAGTTTAATGTTTCCTGGATGATCAAAATTTACCAGACATCTGTATTTTACAGTCCCTGTTCTCAGATTAGGTTGAAATAGTTTTCAATTATAATTTGTTTGTGTAATATCCTAATATCACCTGTAAGTAGGTATTTCTTTGAGAGGGGAAAATCTATTATACAGTATATAAATTTTCCAGGAACCTAGAAAACATTTGAGGGCTTTATTTTTAATTTAGGGAAAAAAAAATTACATTGAAGAGAATAATTCATCCTTTCCCAAACCCTAAACCTTTAGATTTTACGATTGGTACCTCCTCATATGATAAAGGCTCCTTTCTATCTGCCAGAAATCTTTTAAAGTAAAGATACCGGTAGAACTATTCAAAAATTCTAAATAATGCCACATTAAGATTTTTTTTCAGTTTAATAATTTTTCAATAAAATAAGTTCACGGTTTTAAACCCAACATGGGCAATGTGGGAATTTGCACATGTGCACCAACAGAGGGCCATGTGATCACTTGAATCAAACATGCACACAAGAAACTGTCCTTTAGTGTCTGGTTTTCTCTCTGCGTGATTTCAAACTTCTCCAGAAAAGTGGAGGACACTGCCTGAGTTTATGTTCACATCACACCACCATTCACAGTGGCCAGTGAACAATGAAGCAAACCATGGACGGTACAGAGCCCTAATTAATCATGCCATGCACTGCCACCCGTTACTGCAACCCCTTAAATGTGGCAACAGAAAGTATTCCCAAGACACAGATAAGCTCTGTGCAGATCCAGCCCTTTGACCATGAATACTGCTGCTGATGCTGCCGGTAAGTCACAAACTTACAGCAACAGATTGTCGGTGGCGAGCTGTCTTATTTTAGGACATTCATCATAATTTTGCCACTTTTGACCTTTCAAACTGGATGCCTGCCTTCTTTTTTACAAAGCCAAAGCAAAGCCCTAAGTAAAGTGATTAAAACAAAAATTTAAAGGCAAGTTTGAGAATTCTCCCTCAATTTGAAAACAACTCTGTTTAATATGACAGGTACAAAAAGCTTTGCCAAGGTCTGTTTGTCTATTTGAAATGTAGTCTTTTTAAAACAGCCATTATACTCACACTCTAGAAGTCAACACAGCCTCAAAGCCATCAGAGGTTTTTGTTTGTTTGCTTGCTTGCTTTGGTTTATCCTTTTTGTTTTTGGCCCCTGGTTACATAATTTAAATAAGCAAAACAAGAAGAATCTTCAGTTTCTCTTAAAATAAACTCAACCAAATATGTATATTTTATGCTCATTTCTATTCCTTTGGTAAAATAAAATAATTATACTTAGAAGCTAAAATCAAGATTAAATTAAAAGGCAGACTGAAAAGATGAAGAGGCCCTCTTCTAAGACCAATGGTCACATTCATCTGCAAGTACTTTTTATATACTTAAAGGCAACCCATAAAGTTAAGTATTTCTGTTAATGATTTGGTTCCAAAATTACCAGATATTGCATTTTACCTGAGAATATGTTCTGTTGGATTTTAAAACTGGAATCTGCAGCATTTACGGAATAGACATCCTGCGGGTTTCTCAGTGTTATTGAGGACACCGAGGGGATAGAGTTTGTGTCTCATTTCTTTTTCAATACAAAGCCATGCCTTGGAGTGGCAGGATTGTAACACTGCAACTTCCAACCTTAACCCCTTGTGTAGGGGATGTCTGCTCGGCTGTGGAGGCTGGGAAAGCTCGGGGCTGCCCAACGGACAGAAGGAAATAACCGCGTGGCAGATTACTTGAACTGTGCTGAGGATTTTTCCTTAAATATCACAGCACGCTTGCATAAGGGTGGAATTTTATGGACTACATCGTGATTTTATCATCTTTGTGTTGGAGGAAAAAAACTCCTTTCCAGCCTGTGGCTCCTAGCTCAGCGCCCTCGTTCCTTTTTAGCACATTTAAATGGAAGACTACAGTCACCAGAAAAGTAGTCCTAGAATTCTTGTTTCGCTGCTGTAAACCAGAACCTTTCCTTAAGGAATGAAAGACAAACCCAAAGAAAACCTGGCCTGGGTGAGAAAGTAGAGCCCGTCGAAGAGAAAGCAACACAGCATTTGGCCTGCTCTGCAAGGAGCTGGGAATTCTTGCTGCGGTGGGAATAAGGTACCCACCCTCCTGCAGGGGAAGACACAGCAGGAGTAGGGCCACTCCGTGCTTTCTCCTCCCCGGGGCTGCCCAGGTCTCCCCAGCGCGTTTCCTAGATACTAGGCAGACCGGACCCCCGCTGTCCAGGACTGGGCGCCCACGACACTGGCCGGACATCTGGTAAGCCAGGTGGCAAAGGCGTGCCAAAAAAGTGGAGCCCAGGGAAAATCGGGACGGAGCGGGTCACCCGAGTGGTAAACCTTTTCCCAAAGGATGCTGGAAAGGCGCATTTGTAGTTCCCTCCTCACCGCTGTCAAGCTAGGTGATTACTAAGGAGTGCGCATTTTCTTGCCTCTAACGTGACAGTCGCGGGTACGCCCCGCACTCCGGGCTTCAGGGAAGGAAGGGGTCTGCCCCGAACTGGCCCCCACACAGGCCCCGGGACCCCCGACACCCAGGGCAGCCCGCGCTCACACCCACCTTGACCACGTAGGTGACTCCGGGCCCCAGCACCTGGTCGCTGGCGTGCGGCGCCCCCCGAGGGGGCCTGGGCAGCGGCTCGTCGCCTGGCCGGCCTTTCCTGGCGGCGTTCATGGCCGGGGCGCGGGGCGCCGGGGGCGCGCTGCCGTCCGGGGCAGCCAGGCTGGGCGCGCTGCAGCTGCCGGAGAGCCGCGCGCCCGCCCGCTCCCGGGCGGCCGACGACAGGCCGCGGAGGCCGGAGCTGGAGAGTTTCAGGTGGGACACCTTGTGGAGCAGGTGGCCCAGGCTGCCGGGCCCATCGTCGGGCGCCTTGCGCAGCGCCTCGCCGGACACCAAGTAGGGAGCCGCAGCCGGGGTCGAGCGCGCCGCCGAGACCTTGCCTCCGCCGCCGCTCACCGACAGACTGTGGAGAAGGTCATCGACCGATGTCACCGAGTCATTCCTGAAGCGGTTGTACTTGGTGCGTGGAAGCATGCCCCTCCGTGGGCTCGCTGCATCCGCCCGGGCGCTGCTGGTGCCGGCCCCGGCGCGGGCTGCCGCGCATAGCAGGCGAGCCGCTGTCCCCGGAGCGGGACGGAGAGTGGGGGCCCCGGGACAGCCTTCTGGAGAGGGAGAGCAGAGCACGAGAATGGTGCCCTCCCACCATTAAAAACCAGCACAGCAGCGGCCGCGCAGCCCCGGCCCGGGAGACCACTGCTTGGGGTTGCACGTTTGCTTTGCAAAAGTCATAGTTGCCTCTGATGGAGCGCCCAGCTGCTTGGGGCTGCTCACAGCAAAAGCATGACTCACTCTGAGAGGAGACCCTTCTCAACAAAGGCTCGGTGAGCACTGCAAATCACTTCCTGTAGCAGAAAAAAAAAAAAAGGAAAAAAGAAGAAAAAAACGACATCCACCCGCTGACAGCACACTAGAGCCAATCAATTCTCAAATTTCCTTTTTCTACCTTCCCAGAGATTTCCTTCCAACCTTTGATTTTTCACCTTCCCATCCCCCGCACTCTGCATTTGTGCCAAAGGTAAATCCAATCCAGTTCCTTCAAATCGTCAAATGAACTTTCTGAAACCCATTATTCTGTTAGGGTTTGCTCGTCCCTGCTCAGCCCATCTGTGTGAGCCTGTAAAAGTGTCTAACAGCGATGCGTTAAAATGTGACGAAGGCTTTTTAAGAATCAGATCTTCAGCGAATCCTGATGAATCCTGACTTGGAAGGCAGCAGGAATTTTTAAATAGAAAAAACAAAAAGGATATTCACCACCAGGTGAACATAAAATACCAATTTCCTGGGTTTTTCTTTTTCTTTTCAAATGAACAGAGCAGCGATGACAAGTGTCTTTGTGGCAATGCAGTTCCTTAAAAAAAAAATCTGCATATGAACTTCTGCACAGTGCCAATCAAGGGGTCTTCCCTGCTAATTTACAGCAGTCTTTCTCAGCCAGGGTTAAGTTGAATATCCACGTCCAAAAAAGAAGAAAACTGCTGCTTTGACGAGTGGCTACAGGCTCCAGAAATCCATTCCAAAATAGGGGCTGCATTTGAAGCTTTATTCCTACTGAATGTGTTTAAGGTCTGGAAAAACGCCTAAGAAATGCTGCAAATACATTTCAGTGTTCCTTCGGTTGCTGCTTGCAACCCTGCAGTCAGGAAGGAAAAAATGCAGCTGTTCTCATTGCACATCAAATCCACAGGGGGGAAAATATGCCTTCTTTTCAGGAGTCAGGCTCGGGCTTGCAAGTAAAATGCACAGGCCTTCTTCCTCTCAGTTAGGAGAGCAAGGCTTTCGCCGTCCCCGAAGGTCTGCCCGAGACTGAAGCTGACTCTTGACTTCAGTGGGCTCTGCCAGCCTTCCTCATGCATTAAGATCACCTGCTCCACAGTGAAACACTCACTATCAAAGTTTCCCCGCAACTTCCGAGCAAGAGAATAAATTCACCTTTAGCGCACTCTCAGGTCACCCTGAGTCCTCTCACGCCCATGACCGAACATGTGGGGCACGTGAGGTCCCCAGTCTTGAACCCTGCTCTACGGAGCAGCGTTTAATGAGCACCACTCATGGCGGGCGAGCGGGTGAAGCCAACCACTAGGACGCAGGAGCGCAGAGGAGCCGCGGCGTCCCCGGCACAGGAAGCGCGTCCCCACGGCTCGCCTCCTGTGCCGCAGCCCTAGCAGAACAGCCACACGGCACTCATTTGTTCCTTTCCCCTGGCTTGCATAGCAACAGCAATTGCACACCCCATAGAAGATTTTGATGGTTATCAGAGTCCTCCCCAGATCTGAAGCGAAACAGCCCTATCATTCCCAAAGCGAGATCTTCATTAGATGCGGACAAAAACAGCAAAATGTGAATGAAATGCTGTTTGTGTGAATGAAAAGGCTAGCGAGAGAGCCAGCGTTTCTGTGAATGAAGCAGGGCCTTGCAGCCGGTGCCAGGCAATCCCCTGGGCTCCAGCGGCCTCAGCCAATGAGCTGCCGCCCCGATGACTCATTCAACAAAGGCTTGCTCAATAGTGGAAGATTCCATTTCAATCAAAGGCGGGATCTTTTATCCAACGGCAGTGTGGGAAAAAAAATAAAAAGAAAAAACCACCCAGCGGATTACAAAGATACCGGGAGGAAGAGGCCAGCTGCTATGGGGAGGAAAAGCTAGTTTTACAAGGGAATTCGAGATCCCTTAGTCAGGTCTGAGTGTGAAGCGGGTCTCTCTTGGAGGTGAGCTGTGCCCCTAAACTTTCATTCAGCCGTTCATTTACATCAAGGAGCAACCATGAATGTGCCACTCGTTCAGCTTTTATTATGAATGCACATTGAATGCACGTTCAAAACCCGGGTTCCTAGCCCTTGATTCTTTTTTGTGAAAGGCATATGGAACACCTGTGCATGTTCTGAGGCTCCAGGGAGGAAAAAAAATCCGGAGCTATGCTCTTAACCCTTTAGCCAACAGGAGACTTTTATTTCTTTAATTATGAGGCCAGTGGAGGGAAATCGGTCTTTTAAAAATATAAATAGCAATATAAATGTACTATATGTGAAAAGATATATAATCAGAGAAGGAAATTAATATTCCAAGAACACAGTAGTATGGTAAAACCTCACTTACCTGGAAAATAGTATCAGTGTTTTGGAACATAGCAGAAAGGTGGAAAAAGAAAAACCCGAAGGCCTCTCAGCATCAGGAGGAGGCTGCGCTCCCCACGCAGAAGCTCACACGCCCTGTGCATGAGAAAGCCCTTCGCCCTTTCTGGGAGCTATTTGTGTTTATTTTAGACCCTGTCCCAGAAAGCCCACGTATCTGCTTGATCAACATAAAGACAGATGAGAGAGGAGATGGCTGGCACAGAAAACGCTAAATGTAAATGACATTTTCTGATGCTGGCTTGCTTGATAGCCTTCTGACAACATGGAAGGAAGCAGGAAAAAAAATTCCATTTTCAAGTCAGCCTTGAGATTCACCAAAGCTACGCAGTCTGGAGTCATTTACAGTGAGAGCTTTTCCCCCATGTTGTGGTTTTTCTTTTTTAAATCAATGCTCAAACACGTATTTGCTTTCTATGGCTGCCATAACAAATTACCACAAAATCAATGGCTTAAAATAACACAATTTATTATCTTCCAGTTTGTAGGTAAGAGGTCCAAATGGGTCATGCTGGGATCCAGCAAGGGTGTGAGCAGAGCTGGTTCCTCTAGAGGCTCCAAGGGAGAATCCACAAATTTCTGAGAATGTGCCATGAGCTGGGCCCTGGGGAAGATGGTTTTGCCTTCTGGAAGGCAGAAAATCTGAAATTAATGTTATAACTTAGTTAAAGCTATGTGAATTTTTAAATATGTATGAGATACAAAAACTGACCAAAGGAGCAAGATCACCTTGAAGATGCAGAGGTGACCCCTGACCTCAGCGGGAATCCTCCAGGTGGGCTTCACAGGAGGAGACTGTGTGGGTAAGGGATCAAGGCCTGAGCAGCCAAGAGTCTCCCAGAATCCCTGGTAGGTTGGTTGGGTTGGAGGAGGAGGTCAGGAGGCTGGGCACTCAAAGAGGCTTAAAGGGGTAATGTGGTTTGGATGTGTGTCCCCTCCACATCTCATGTTGAAATGTGACCCTCAGTGTTGGAGTTGGAGCCTGTAGAGGAGGTGATTGAATCATGGATGCATCGCTCATGAATGGATTAACACCATTCCCTTGGTGATGAGTGAGTTCTCGCTTGGAGCTTACATGAGATTTGCTTGTGTAAAAGAATGTGGTGACTCCCCTCTCACTCTCTTTATTGCTTCTGTTCACACCATATGAGACTCCTGCTCCCCCTTCACTTCCTGCCACAATTGAGGCCCTCATCAGAAGCCAAGCAGATGCCAGCACCATACTTCCTGTACAGGCTGCAGAACCATGAGACAATTAAACCTGTTTTCTTTATAAATTAGCCTCTGGCATTTCTTCATAGCAATGCAAGAACAGATGGACATAGGGGCTTGAGTGGGGGTCACACAGTCAGGTTTGCCTTTATGGAGACCACTTTGATAGTGACTTGGGGTGGCTCTGGGAAGTTGAAAGGAGTGGGAGATAACAGGACAACTTAAAAAGAATGAGGACTTGAATAAAAAGAAAGAGCAGTGGAGCTGCAAAAAGAGGGATAGATTCAAGATAGCTGGGACAGTAAAGGATCTGTCTCCGTGATGAGGAAGTGTGAGAGACAGTGAGGCTAGGTAGGCTGTCTACAGCCAGAAGCTGACACAGAGTTTGGGGTGCAAGATGCTTATTAGGGATCAAGCTCCACAGAAAGCAGGGGAGGCTGCAGCTGGAGCAGAGGCAGAAGTGGGCTATGATCCAGGTCCCACACACCTCGATCCTGACGGGAGATCTGGACAAAGAGTGCCATCCACAGAGTGTCCCCTGGCCTGCAGGACCGCTCATTCACTCTCACGCACCCTCTCACTCTCTCCCCCATTCACCTCCTAATGCGAGCTGCCCAGGGAGAAAACAGCCTCCAGCAGGTGGCACCCTGTGGCTGAGCCCCCAGAAAAAGTTGAAGTGAAGGCTGCTTGCCCCTGGCACCCTGAAGCCCAGCCCCTTCCAATGAGAAGAATGCTAAGCAAAGCCCCATATTTCTAACTTGGACCATTGGGCTGAGTTGAGTGTTAGCCATGAGGATGAAGAGCACAGGTGGGTCATGGGAAAAGGCAAGGGCTGGGCTTTGAATGTGTGTGAGGGGTGAGGATCTTCCATGTAGCCATGGCCAGTGCTGAAGAGCAGTCAGAGCTGGAAGTGGAAACCTGGAAATGCCAGACTTTCCAGATGGGAGCTAAGAAATAATGGTCAGAATTTGGAGGATAAATATGGAAACCTGGTTTGATGGATGTGATGGAAGAGACTTTCAAGAAAAAAGCAGTGCTAGTTAACAAGTACAGTGATGACCGTCATAACCACCTTGACTGTCCCTAGGCACCAAAGCATGCCTGTTCTACATAGATACAGATAAATGATTTACAGCCTATTTGGATGATAAGAAACCGAGGGTCAGAGGAGTCACAAAATGTGCCAGAGCCACACTGGGTGAGTGATATGGTTTAGATGTGTGTCTCTGCCCAAATCTCAGGTTGAATTGTAATCCCCAGTGTTGGAGGTGGAACCTAACAGGAGGTGATGGATCATGGGAGCAGTTTCTAATGGTTTAGCTGTCCCCCAGTGCTGTCTTGGAATAGGATCCTCACCAGATCCGGTTGTTTGAAAGTGTGCAGCGCCTCCGCACTTTGTTCTCTCTTCATCCTGCCCCTGCCACATAGATGTACCTGCTTCCCCTTCACCTTCCACAATTATTGTAAGTTTCCTGAGGCCTCCCCAGCCATGCTCCCTGTACAGCCTCAGAACTGTGATCCAATTAAACCTCTTTTCTTTATAAATTACTCAGTCTCAGGTATTTCTTTATAGCAGTGTGAGAACAGACTAATACAATGAGGAACTGACAGAGTAGTCTTACTCCAGCATCACCTCGATTCACATAGCTTGTGTAAGGTACCTGCTGAGCCCCATCCTCGGCAGGTGTTGATCAGCCATTGCTGGACATCCTAGCAATGGGGATGGAGGAGCTTCCACTTAGGTAATGGGATGGTGTGAGCTGAATGAGATAAGAAATGAATGAAAAGATCATACTTTCCAGAAGATGGAATAAAATGAAAGGTAGGGCATAGGCCAATAGCCAGCAGTACAGCAGAGAGTACAAAGCAGGGAATGGAAGAGTTAGGACAGTGTTTAGGGGCAGGGAGCAGAGCAGAGTAGGAGAAATCAACACAGGAAGGAGACAGGTCAATGGGTGACTCTTGCCCTGTGGGAGTGGTGGGACATCTCATCCTCTGGAGGAAGGGAGGACTTGATGAACAGATTATTCAGGGTCCAAAGTAGGAAACAGGAGTCCCTTCCCTTTGAAGTGGTTCAAAGGCGAAAACTTTAATATAAGAGACATAAAAATGGGGTTAATGTAGCCCAAAAGGATGGTGATGTACCAGGGATTCACAAGACTCAGAGGCCATCTCCAGCTTTAGGACCAAAGGAACAGAAAGGAAATTGAGTCACTGGAGCCAGTAGAATTCCAGCTTGAATTTTGGAGTGGAGGCTGTCAGGGGCAGCTCAAGTTTCAGAGGGCAAAAGATGCTGACAGAGAGGAACACACAGAGACGAAATACTCAGGCTTTTTCCTCACTCTTACCTCCTGTCAGTGCCTCCCATTGGCCACATCCATGGGAAGCCAGAGGCCAGGGAGCTTGGTGATGGGACCATGGGGAGGGGAAGCCCCTAGGCACAGAGCAGACTGGGAAGGCTGAGGGGAAGTGCATGCGAGTGTGTCTGCACGTCAGTTTGTCTGTGGCCATGGTAGGAAGTTCAAAGATTTTATGTCTGATTTAGATGTTACATCTGATTTTCACCGTGAATAAAAGGGAGGGGTGTGCTTAAAAAGTGAGAGAGTTTCATTTCTGTAAGGCATTTGAGTTGCAGGTGAAGGTACAGGATGGCTGCGGAGGGGGATGAAGAATGCTGCCGATGCATCAGGATGAGTAAGGGATTGCTGCATGGCACCACTAACCAGCCATAAAGAGAAGCCCAGATATGGGCATCCATCTGCCTGTGTATGAAATGGAAGATAGTGAATCGTTAGCTACACGGCCCATTCCAGGACGAAGGCACAGGAGGGAGGGCATGGAGGATACAGCCAGCAGAAGTCAGGAATGGATGTGGGGTGGAGAAGGATAGGATGGCCACTGAAGGAAGATCAGATGCAGGCACAGTGCTCTCAAAGCCCTGAGAAGACTGCAGCCTGGGGGCTTGGGGCGCACATCACAGAGAGGTACACAGGAGCAGGTCCCTAATGGTGCCTCTTGAGGTGTAGGTGGGGAGAAGGACCAGCCTCACCACAGTGTTGGGGGCTTGGGAGTCCCAGTTTTGTTGAAGCCAGAGATTGGGACCATCCTGAGAGGAGGCTGAA